GTACCACCTAAAAATCACGGAAGGCATAAGTTATATAACGAGAACCCGAATATTATTTTCAACACCAGCCCTGTCAATCGCCGATCCTTATTACACTTGGCGATTCTCTTCTTGGAAATTTGGTCTCTGTGCGCTTTTTGTGCCCTTGACAAAATCGTTGCTATGATGCCATTTGTGCGGCAAGACCTGTTTACTCTTCTTGTTGCAACGTTTATTTCCGCACGTCTCTCACTTTCCATTGAGCGGATCAAGTGTGATAAACAGAACCATTGGAAGGTGACTTGAAGTGAGTCGTCTGAAGTGTTGCAGTGGAACAGCTGGCGCAAATTGGACAAGAAGTACGATGAGGAACGTTAGTGGAGAGAAAAGAAAGCACCATAGAAAACACTGAAATTTTCCTTGTGAGGTCGGCCGTGGTATGACGGAGAGACACAGCGCTGCGAGGAGAGGGAAAACGCGAGAGAGTACGTCGTACGCGAGAGGGCGCAGACGCCACGTATGCCGCGATTGATAAGGGTGGCAGCACACAAGGCAAGACCTTAGCGCCGTTGCCTCGCACTTTTGAGTCGCGACAGTGTCGCGCCTCCTGCGCTTGGGACCCTCTTTCTCACCTAGAATGGGCTACTTCTCGCCACCTAATTCCGAGCCATAGCTCTGAATTTGTGTTGAGGCTCTATAAAGGCAGTTTGTTATTGTTAAAACTGGGATGGAAGCTCGCATGGCATTAACTCATAGATGGGATGTTTCTTTTCAGATGTCCACAATGGCTCAAAAAGGTCAAAGAATCAGCGCACGCAGCGCCATTCCTACAGAGGCTACAGGGCGCCTCGAAAATCTCGACGTGCCATTGTAGTCGAATGATTTTAGGTATGATTAAGTTGTACGTCAATTTTGAGGTTTTTCGTTTCCCATGAAGCCGAGCATCGTCTGAGAGAGCGGAACGGGTCGTTGCCGTCATACCTTCACGAAGACCTTTCTTTTATAGTAAAGGGCTCGTACAAATTATTCGGAGTGATCAAGTACCAATCAGAATGCCTTTACGTTTTTGAGTGAAATGCGAATGCGCGGCGTAACCCAAAGAGGCGGTGATCGAAGATGTCCGGTTTTGTTCGTGTAAAGACAATAATTGGTAGTCTAGTCACATATCTCACATCATCTTTATTATACGCGGAGCGAAAACCCGACCTGTTTCATAATGAGCTTAACATACAGTAAGAAAAACGGGTAAAATCCGTTTTTAAACTGTCGACGACTTTAATTTTGAGTAGATAATTTGGATTCCACACATATTACGATTACGTGCAATAGCTTACATTTGACAATCAATCATATCGTCGTGAATGGTCGTGGTTAGTTACTCAAGCTACAGAATTATCAGGTCTACAGTAATCGAGTAGCGATGAAGATAAATCGTCTAAAGAATCGAACTACAATATAATCTAGAATCCTCTTGTTGCTGCTGTATATTCTGCAGTGAATTGTTCCAGGTACGGGTTCACGCTTTCATCAAGATATCGCATTTTCTTCAAATATATGAGAAGTACTTGATGTACGTAGAGGTATTGATGCTCAGTCTGAATAGCATAACATTACATAATACTAGGGACGTTCTGTATTTGCCTTGAGGCGTAATTCTTGTTATGTGTAGAGGCGGCGTCGGGGACGTCTACATGGAGCAGAGTTTGTGGGTGAAAACCCGGACAATTTCTCAGTAATTGAGACATTGTCCAGCGAGCCTTGCCCATGGATTCGGGTCTCCGATTCCATCTTGGCAAACCAAGCTGTTCGATGATGAGAAACAAAAAGAAAACTGATGGTGAGCTTGAAATCACACCACACACCCTTCGTATGGGCGGAGTTTGCCGCCCCGCGACTCCGTTATTTCCCTAGTTAGCCCATCTTTTACAAGACTACCGTATCAGAGGAACGGGTATATGTGAGGCTTATGAATCCTGCCCATATGACTGGCGGTTATGTGATTTTTGAGATTCACTGCATTTCTTTGCATAATCTTTAATGACTGATGGATTATCGAAGACTTGTGGCCACATACCCTCCGCGCATTGAGTTCAGTGGATAAATTATTTTGAAAATATTTTGGTATTTTGAAATGAAATCACACACCTGAATCGAATTATTTCGTTGCTTCCTAAGCGCCAGTAGTAAGCTTCGGATTTCCCCAAGAGTTTCGTGAGTTCCAAGTAATTCAAGGGCATGTTCAATAAGAACAATTGATCCAGTACGTCCAATACCGGCGGAACAATGCACGATTATTGGCGTCCTGGAAACTCAGTTCAGTAAGTGATGCTAGCATACGAAAGGCACTTAAAAGATGTTGAAATGATGCCGTTTTCCTGTTGAAATCCTAGAAAGTTCCGCTGAGAGAGGTCCAGTAGAGGGAATAATTGAAAATGAAAGTTAATGATGGGGATGGCCACACGCAGTTTACCCGTCGCGCGGCGAGGGAAGGCGCCAGTTGACGCAGATGGGCAGCGCGACGAGTTGCAGGGCGCGTGACTGACGAATTTCAATCGTCAGAGTTTAAGGAGGCAAGTGTGCGTATTAGTATGTCCATCACTGCACACTTCACGGTGTTGACTCTAGTCCCGCTAGCCTGTTGCTTCTGCGGCTTTCTCGGCCGCCAAGCTTCTGTCGGGTCATTCGATAATTGATGGCTCACTATTCCAGAAAATTTCTCACCATCCAAAGAATCGATTCAAGTTAGGCACTGCCTCGTTTTTATCCTTTAGGGGCTAAAGTCTAAGCCGAATACTATTATTAGTTCTCATTATTGCGCCAATCCGCTCACTAGCCTTGTTCGGCCAATTAGCTCTAGTCAATTGTAAAATAAGGTGACTGCAGTACCAGTACTCAGATATGATAAGAGTGAAAAACTTACTAGTCGGTCCGTATTGTTTGCAAGTAGGCATATTTGGTGCAGATACGCGATTCAGCGTACGTGCCGGGTCGTATCAGGCCAGTCGAGCCACGTGATAGTGAGTGGTGGCATGCGGTGCCTCGCCCGGTACTCGTACTTCCAAATGAGTCACTCGTATGTTTACCTTCGTGTTTATAGGGAAATGAAACTGAATAGATTTGATTAAATAAAGAGAAAGAAATTACAAGGTGTAATAACAGCATTTCTGTTGCCAACCACGATATTGCTCGATAGTCTTCCTCAGGGGTGATTTGAGGGTAGCGTTGAAGAAGAAAGACAGACATGTACAGACAAGTGCTTGATTATCTGGAAGTGATGTGTATTGTCATGGCAATGGTAGTTTGCGCTATTCCCACACGCTCATTATCACTGGGCGGCATAAGGTGAGGACTCTGATGTTAGTGAGAGCGCAGCTACTGCTGGTGTCACACTTGATAATTTTTTAGGATACGAACGGTGTGATGTCTGTGAATTTATGCAGAGGAAATATGAGAGGGGCAGTTTTCCACAAGCGGCGCAGAACGAGCAAAAAAGGGTAATGGCCCCCATCGATTAAACATTGCGTCAAGTAGTTGGGGGAAGAGGACAAGTGGTATTCATCTTCAATGACTATGGGCTAAAGTTATCTGGATAGATAAAGACCCATCACGGCGCTAACGTATGGTACAAGTCGACGTGTAGTTACCTTTTGAAGTATATTCGGATTACTGAATGGTAACTACTTAGTTAGTTACTTAACAACGTCCATTTTATGTACCTGTTCTTGTCTTTTAAACTTTACGGTTACACCATCAAAATTCAAAGGGCTCTCCTCCGCCGTTATTGGCACATATGGGGCCGATTTCTTGGAACTCTGAAATTTTAGCAATTCTTTATTGATGATCTCCGTGGTATAAATTTAGGCGCAATGTGCTCTCCAAGGGGAGGGGCAGTCGGTCAGAAGGTCAATAGCGAAGGTACACAGCGCTAAGCGCTGTGGTTTAGAGGGCGAAGTTTCGTAAAGGCAATGAAACAAATTTTCGTTTACGGCTAGCGTACGTATCCCTCTTCATCCTCCAATAGGATGTAGTTCTCCAAAACTGATAAGTTATCCTGTCATGTGAATCTGAACTTAGGGTTTACGTCCGTGTCTGTGGTGGTTCCTTTCTGGAGCACATTGCTCGCCTAAATTTATCAGGCAAGGATATGAAAGGATCCGCCTCAATTAAAATTGCAGAGCATCACAATGTGGCAGTTGCTTTCCCTGGTTACAACCATGTAGCCAGAAACTCCCCGGCACCAAGTTTTCGGCTACGCGGAGCCTGAATCACTTGTTAAGTCGTTTTTAGTATTCAATCTCATCGACAAACTAGAAGGCGGCCAATCCGTTTGTCCATGAATTTTACACCTACGTAGATACACGTTCACAATATACGTGCACGGTGTTTAGCTGTAATGCACCAGACGTAGAGCTCATGGGTTATGGAATTATGTGCCCCGAAGAAAGAATGAAATTTGTCAAGGCTTAAATTCGAATTACCATGTCATCCTTATACAATCTTCAAACTTTTAGAACTGATGAGGTCTCACAGGTGTGGGATTGTAAACAAGTGAAAAGCTATGTGTGTCATAAAGTTCTTTTGATGTGTTGGCCAATAGCGTTTTTTGGCACTATCGTAATATATGGAGCACAACCCACGGTTAAGTCCAAGACAGGCATAAGGAGGGCAGGAAAACCAAGGAAAATTAAAAATTCTTCAAGAAATTGAAGTCTTGACCCTCGCTTAAAACTTCGTCTCGTTTATAACGACTACCAGGTAATTCATGCGGTTTGTGCGCTGTAGCCGAGTGCCCTCGTTTTTTGGAATAGTAACCCGTTTCTTTGCAAAAGTTGTTATTGTGTTTTTTTTTCGATCAAAGAGGACTTCACGAAAGCTTTTTTGAATACCTGTGTGCATATGAAGCGTTTCGGGCTGATTGGAGTGGAAACGTAGTTGGCATGAATATACGATACAGGACCGATGTTCAGCACGACGCGTTGATAGTCAAGGCATCCAACATCCTAGAAGGGAACGGATTTCTAAAGAATAACAGCTGTCGTGTGAAGGAAAGTCGCTGCTACTGAAAGCAAAGGAAGGATTGGGATCTCCTGCTCCTAGAGTGCGCCATGCAATCCACTTCTGGCCCGGAATGTACCGACATTTCAAAGTGAATTAGCCTATATGTTATGTTGCAGCCGGCCGCGGATTCAGAGGGAACGGAAAAAGATGTAAAGGAATGAATAGGAAATAGAAAATAATGGACGTCAGGTCGAAGCAACGTAGAAATTAGAAAGTCATACCTTGTACCGATTCCTTCCTTGTGGAATCTGTGCTACAAACTCCGTCATTACGTTGAAATCATTTGTTCGTTTCATCAGTTTGAATTCAGTGATCAGCCCTGCTACGCCAGTTTTGAGAGTGTGCTCGATGAAGGGTTTAACCTGAATGTTACAGTCGATATCCGAAAGTTGGGGTAGGCGTGTCACCGGAAGTGACGTGCACTTGATAGAAGTTGCGTGGATAAGCTGTTGCCAGCATGCTTTGCTGATATCCAGCGATGTATGTTGGAAGCAGCTTATCCACACAGCTTCATCAAGTGCAACACCGTGCACGCGCCGTGCACACGCAGTAAACATCGTACACATCCCGTAAAACACCGTGCAACACCGTGCACGCGCCGTGCACACGCAGTAAACATCGTACACATCCCGTAAAACACCGTGCAACACCGTGCACGCGCCGTGCACACGCAGTAAACATCGTACACATCCCGTAAAACACCGTGCAACACCGTGCACGCGCCGTGCACACGCAGTAAACATCGTACACATCCCGTAAAACACCGTGCAACACCGTGCACGCGCCGTGCACACGCAGTAAACATCGTACACATCCCGTAAAACACCGTGCAACACCGTGCACGCGCCGTGCACACGCAGTAAACATCGTACACATCCCGTAAAACACCGTGCAACACCGTGCACGCGCCGTGCACACGCAGTAAACATCGTACACATCCCGTAAAACACCGTGCAACACCGTGCACGCGCCGTGCACACGCAGTAAACATCGTACACATCCCGTAAAACACCGTGCAACACCGTGCACGCGCCGTGCACACGCAGTAAACATCGTACACATCCCGTAAAACACCGTGCAACACCGTGCACGCGCCGTGCACACGCAGTAAACATCGTACACATCCCGTAAAACACCGTAAAACCGTGCAACACCGTGCACGCGCCGTGCACACGCAGTAAACATCGTACACATCCCGTAAAACACCGTGCAACACCGTGCACGCGCCGTGCACACGCAGTAAACATCGTACACATCCCGTAAAACACCGTGCAACACCGTGCACGCGCCGTGCACACGCAGTAAACATCGTACACATCCCGTAAAACACCGTGCAACACCGTGCACGCGCCGTGCACACGCAGTAAACATCGTACACATCCCCGTAAAACACCGTGCAACACCGTGCACGCGCCGTGCACACGCAGTAAACATCGTACACATCCCGTAAAACACCGTGCAACACCGTGCACGCGCCGTGCACACGCAGTAAACATCGTACACATCCCGTAAAACACCGTGCAACACCGTGCACGCGCCGTGCACACGCAGTAAACATCGTACACATCCCGTAAAACACCGTGCAACACCGTGCACGCGCCGTGCACACGCAGTAAACATCGTACACATCCCGTAAAACACCGTGCAACACCGTGCACGCGCCGTGCACACGCAGTAAACATCGTACACATCCCGTAAAACACCGTGCAACACCGTGCACGCGCCGTGCACACGCAGTAAACATCGTACACATCCCGTAAAACACCGTGCAACACCGTGCACGCGCCGTGCACACGCAGTAAACATCGTACACATCCCGTAAAACACCGTGCAACACCGTGCACGCGCCGTGCACACGCAGTAAACATCGTACACATCCCGTAAAACACCGTGCAACACCGTGCACGCGCCGTGCACACGCAGTAAACATCGTACACATCCCGTAAAACACCGTGCAACACCGTGCACGCGCCGTGCACACGCAGTAAACATCGTACACATCCCGTAAAACACCGTGCAACACCGTGCACGCGCCGTGCACACGCAGTAAACATCGTACACATCCCGTAAAACACCGTGCAACACCGTGCACGCGCCGTGCACACGCAGTAAACATCGTACACATCCCGTAAAACACCGTGCAACACCGTGCACGCGCCGTGCACACGCAGTAAACATCGTACACATCCCGTAAAACACCGTGCAACACCGTGCACGCGCCGTGCACACGCAGTAAACATCGTACACATCCCGTAAAACACCGTGCAACACCGTGCACGCGCCGTGCACACGCAGTAAACATCGTACACATCCCGTAAAACACCGTGCAACACCGTGCACGCGCCGTGCACACACCGTGCACGCGCCGTGCACACGAAGTAAACATAATCGTACACATCCCGTAAAACACCGTGCAACACCGTGCACGCGCCGTGCACACGCAGTAAACATCGTACACATCCCGTAAAACACCGTGCAACACCGTGCACGCGCCGTGCACACGCAGTAAACATCGTACACATCCCGTAAAACACCGTGCAACACCGTGCACGCGCCGTGCACACGCAGTAAACATCGTACACATCCCGTAAAACACCGTGCAACACCGTGCACGCGCCGTGCACACGCAGTAAACATCGTACACATCCCGTAAAACACCGTGCAACACCGTGCACGCGCCGTGCACACGCAGTAAACATCGTACACATCCCGTAAAACACCGTGCACGCGCCGTGCACACGCAGTAAACATCGTACACATCCCGTAAAACACCGTGCAACACCGTGCACACGCAGTAAACATCGTACACATCCCGTAAACACCGTGCACGCGCCGTGCACACGCAGTAAACATCGTACACATCCCGTAAAACACCGTGCAACACACGTGCACGCGCCGTGCACACGCAGTAAACATCGTACACATCCCGTAAAACACCGTGCAACACCGTGCACGCGCCGTGCACACGCAGTAAACATCGTACACATCCCGTAAAACACCGTGCAACACCGTGCACGCGCCGTGCACACGCAGTAAACATCGTACACATCCCGTAAAACACCGTGCAACACCGTGCACGCGCCGTGCACACGCAGTAAACATCGTACACATCCCGTAAAACACCGTGCAACACCGTGCACGCGCCGTGCACGCGCCGTGCACACGCAGTAAACATCGTACACATCCCGTAAAACACCGTGCAACACCGTGCACGCGCCGTGCACACGCAGTAAACATCGTACACATCCCGTAAAACACCGTGCAACACCGTGCACGCGCCGTGCACACGCAGTAAACATCGTACACATCCCGTAAAACACCGTGCAACACCGTGCACACGCAGTAAACATCGTACACATCCCGTAAAACCGTGCACGCGCCGTGCACACGCAGTAAACATCGTACACATCCCGTAAAACACCGTGCAACGTGCACGCCGTGCACACGCAGTAAACATCGTACACATCCCGTAAAACACCGTGCACGCGCCGTGCACACGCAGTAAACATCGTACACATCCCGTAAAACACCGTGCAACACCGTGCACGCGCCGTGCACACGCAGTAAACATCGTACACATCCCGTAAAACACCGTGCAACACCGTGCACGCGCCGTGCACACGCAGTAAACATCGTACACATCCCGTAAAACACCGTGCAACACCGTGCACGCGCCGTGCACACGCAGTAAACATCGTACACATCCCGTAAAACACCGTGCAACACCGTGCACGCGCCGTGCACACGCAGTAAACATCGTACACATCCCGTAAAACACCGTGCAACACCGTGCACGCGCCGTGCACACGCAGTAAACATCGTACACATCCCGTAAAACACCGTGCAACACCGTGCACGCGCCGTGCACACGCAGTAAACATCGTACACATCCCGTAAAACACCGTGCAACACCGTGCACGCGCCGTGCACACGCAGTAAACATCGTACACATCCCGTAAAACACCGTGCAACACCGTGCACGCGCCGTGCACACGCAGTAAACATCGTACACATCCCGTAAAACACCGTGCAACACGCGTGCACACACGCAGTAAACATCGTACACATCCCGTAGAACACCGTGCAACGCGCCGTGCACACGCAGTAAAACATATCGTACACATCCCGTAAAACACCGTGCACACGCCGTGCACACGCAGTAAACATCGTACACATCCCGTACAAACACCGTGCACGCGCCGTGCACACGCAGTAAACATCGTACACATCCCGTAAAACACCGTGCAACACCGTGCACGCGCCGTGCACACGCAGTAAACATCGTACACATCCCGTAAAACACCGTGCAACACCGTGCACGCGCCGTGCACACGCAGTAAACATCGTACACATCCCGTAAAACACCGTGCAACACCGTGCACGCACTGTGCAGCACCCTCCACACATTGTGCAACACCATGGAACAGCTTCACACGCCGTAGAACATCATGTACACACCGCGCAACATCTTGCAACATAGTACAACAGCGTGCCATACCGTGCATACATCGTGCAACACCGTGCAGCAGCGTGCACACACGTGTAACACCGTGCACGCACCGTACAATACCGTACAACATCACGCAACACCGTGCAATACCGTGCGCATACCATGCAACACTGTGCAACATCTCGCAACACCGTGCATATGTCGTACAACACCGCTACACATCGTGCAATATCGTTTAACATCGTACTTACACCGTAGAACACTGTGCAAACACCGTACAACACTGTGACACATCTGCAACGACCTTACAACCGACCGACCGTGCTTGCAATACCGTGCCCATTCCGTGAACACTGTGCAACACCGTGCGACAGTGCGCAATATCATGAAGCCTGCGCGCAGGCTTAAGCCGTTTAGACACGGTGAGCACTTGAATGTGGCGTCAATTATGATACTTTGGCCGCAGTCACGTACAGTGCGAGAGCGAACGTAATCAACGACGCTACTTTGCTGTGCAAGGACGCTACCCTGCCATCCTGGGCAGCGATCCAAAAATAGAGCGACGCCGCAGCGTTCGCCGTCCCGCTGGTGCGGGACGACCTGGACGCCGCGCCACGTCGCAGCATTCGCCTCGCCGCTCGCGCGGCGAGGCTAAACGCTGCGCGCGCTTCGCGCGCGAGGCAAGGGGAGGTGATCCCCGGGGTGCCGCCTCATCCAATGTGAGGCGGCAGTTGGTCGTGTGGCAATCAACCACCTTCTACATAAACGGCGCTTAGTACTCTGCGCGGGCCTGCTCGACACATTCTCTCTCCGTTGAGAGGGCGCAAAGAAAACGATAAAGGGGAT